AGGCCAGGCTGAGGGACCCCCTTTTCCAGTGCCTGAATTTTCATGCTCCAGGCCTCTAGTATTAAAATAATGAAATAGATCAAGTTAACAATTTCTCAGCTCTGGAGGGAAAAAAATTTTTAATTGCTTGATATTCCAGATAAAATTCACTCACTTAACAATACATTTTAAGTGTGCTGAGTGTTTCTGATGTGTGCTACTATGCTATCAGAGCTGATATAAGAAAATAGGTGCCATTTTGCTGCCTATGAAGTCCTGTAGGATTTTTATTGTTTCGCATCTTACATTTAAGTCCTTTAGTCATTTTGTTTGTTTTTGTGTATGGTGTAAGTTGGTGATCTAGTTTCATTTTTTTTTTTTTTTGCATGTTTCTGATCAAATTTCCCAGCACCATTTATTGAAGATACTGTCTTGACTCCATTGTATTCTCTTCCTTTTTTGTCAAATATTAATTGAGCATAATAGCTTGGGTCAATTTTTGGGTTCTCTGTTCTGTTCCATTGGTCTTTATGTCTGTTCTGTGCTAGTACCAGGCGGTTTTGAGAACCATAGCTTGGTAATATAGTTTGATATCTGGTATTGTGATCTATCCAACTTTGATCTTCTTTATCAGGATTACTGTGGCTATTTGGGGTCTTTTAAAATTATTATTACAGATGAATTTTGAAGAGTTTGTTCTAGATTTTTGAAATATTTTAATGGGGATTGCATTGAGTTTGTAGCAATACCTTTACTGACATAGCTCCTAGAGCAATTGAGCAATTGAGACTAAGGAGAAAATAAACAAATGGGACTACATCAAAATAAAAAGCTTCTGATAGCAAAAGAAACCATCAACAAAACAACAAGAAAGCCCACTGCATGGGACAACATATTTGCCAGTGCTATTTCAGATAAGTATTTAGTCTCCAAAATTTACAGAGAACTCATACAACTTAACAAAAGGAAGATAAACAATCCAATAAAAAAAATGGGCAGAAGGACCTAAATAGACACTTTTCAAAAGAGGACATACAGAAGGCCAAGAGACATATGAAACATGCTCAAAGTCACTAATCATCCAAGACATGCAACTCAAAACAAAAATGAGATTCCTTCTCACACCTGTCAAAATGGCTATCATTAACAAATCAACAAATGACAAGTGCTGGTAATGATGTGGAGAAAAAGGAACCCTTGAGCACTGGTGGTGGGAATGCAAACTAGTGCAGTTACTGTGGAAAACAGTATGGAGTTTCCTCAAAAAATTAAAAATGGAACTCCCATTTGACCCAGTAATCCCACTTCTAGGACTACATCCAAAGAAACCAGAAAACCAATCAAAAAGGATATATGCACCCCTATGTTCATACAGTAGCTAAGATTTGGAAATAGCCTACATGCTCACCAGCAGATGAGTGGATTAAAAAATGGTGGTATATCTACACAATGGAATACTACACTGCTATAAAAAGAAGGAACTTTTACCATTTACAACAGTATGGATGGAACTGGAGAGCATTATGCTAAGTGAAATAAGCCAGTTGGAGAAAGTTAAATATCACATGATCTCACTCATATGTGGGATATAATGACCAATATAAACTGATGAACCAAAATAGACCCAGAGACAAATGGCAGAGAGGTGGGGAGTTAGAGAGCAACCAAAGGACTTATATGCATGTATATTAACCTAGCCAATAGACACAGAGACTGGAGGGGGGGAGGGGGCGGAAAAAGGAGACATATCTAAAACTTTAGACCAAAAAAATAAAAAAATAAAAAAAGTAGGTGCCAGACCTGATCAGCATGGTTTGGTGGTTGAGTTTCGACCTATGAACCAGGAGGTCATGTCACATGCCTGGGTGTGGACTCGATCCCCAGTAGGGAGTGTGCAGGAAGCAGCCAATCAATGATTCTCTCTCCCTGAAAGAGAGCTCTCTCTCCCTCTCCCTTCCTCCCTGAAAAAAAAAAAAATGTTTTTAAAGAAAATAGACACCAAGATAGCCAGGGTTTGTTCATGCAGATGAAATAACTACTAGACATTGTAGACCAAGAAATCTGAGAGCAGTATTGAATGGGTGTGGCCTCTGCAGAGTGGGTCTGTCCTTTGGGACTGGGCTCTTAAAACACACACAGCACTACCTCCAAACTACACCCTTCCTCATTGGCCTCCTGCAATCCCTGCCATTGAGTGTGTTAAAAGAAGTTAACCGAAGTAAGTCTTTTTTTGCACAAAGCTGCCTCCACGGATTCACCTTGACCTGCAGTGTGTTATGAAGAAGGTAGAGACAAATTTTGTTGCTTATCAATATCCACCCTCCCAGTCAATTGTTTTATGGTCAGATTCTCCTTGCTCCTGTCTCTATCCAGTCCTTAGCCTTCGTGGCTCAGTGGATTCCCTCTTGAGCATCACAGACATCAGAAAGTACCTAACTAAACCCTCTGTTTTACCAAGAAGGAAACTTACAAGTAGTTACAGAGTTGAATGACAGAGATTCTGTGTTAGAGGAGATCATGTTCTACTTGCTTATGCATGCAGAGACATGTTATAAAAAGCATGCCATGTTTAAGGGCTAGTATAGAGGTCGTACACAGAATGTTGTGGGGAGGAAGCTCACCCAGCCTAGAGGTCATGAATCAAGAGAGTCTTCTGGAAAGAACTGACCCCTAATCTGTATCTTAAAAAATACATATGTTGATAAAACTGGTTTGGATCAGTGGATAAGAGCATCGGCCTGCAGACTGAGAGGTCCCAGGTTTGATTCCTGTCAAGGGCATGTACCTTGGTTGTGGGCATATCCCCAGTAGGGGGTGTGCAGAAGGCAGCTGGTCGATGTTCCTCTCTCGTTGATGTTTCTAGCTCTCTATCACTCTCCCTTCCTCTCTGTAAAAAATCAATAAAATATATTTTAAAAATATATATGTTATATCAATTTCAGAGAAAGGAAGGGAGTGGGAGAGAGTGTTAGAAAGATCAATGATGAGAGAATCGTCCATTGGCAGCCTCCTGCAAGCCCCCTACTGGGGATTGTGCCCTGATCAGAATTGAATCATAACTTCGAGGTTTATAGGTCAACACTCAACCACTAAGCCATACCAGCCAGGCACTATCTGGATCTTGAAGTGGGATTAGCCACATGAAGACAGAGCAAAAACTGCTTTAAGCAGGAGGGGTAGAATGTAAGAGGGAAGGCAAAGACAGTTAGTTGTGATAGCAAATAACTTGGGGGGATGTGCAGGAAATCCTGATCAGTAGGAATTGGAATTCTGATCAGAGAGATTAGGAGCCATAAGGTTTGAGAGAAAGACTGGACTAGATCTTAAAGGATCTCTGAGGTTGTACAAAAGAATTTCATCTTGGAGGCCATGAGAGTCAATGCAGGTATTTAATCAAAAGTAAAGAATGTATTTTATTCTGTGTTTGGAGCATGGAGAATAAAGCGGTATTTGGAGTTAATTGCACTAATCAATCCAGGGAGATAAGAAATGGAGGTATCTCAGAGCAACATTCATCACCAAACAACCTTCACCACTGTTTAATGTCCCTATCAGCTACAGTCCCGGGAAAATCCTGACGTGCAACTTCATCATTGCTTTTCATGTGTCCACATTAATAGATTGTACTTTCTAACCTGAACTAGGTTTAACTGGTCAATGTTGTTTTACTGTTTTTCTTTCTTTGTGCTCTATTTTTAACCACCCAAGAAAGCCTTTTCCCTGGCTTTTGTCTGTAATTATCCTTTCAGTGGTCATTGATTTAAATGTCTCTGAAGGAAACAGCATACCATAGAATTTGTTTACCATTGTTTCTAATTTGGTAACTTTTAAAAATAAATTTTATCATTTACAGTTGATATACATATTACATGAGGTTCAGGTGTACAGCATAGTGATTAGACATTTATATAACTTACTATAGGCCCAGTGCATGAAATGTGTGTACGGATAGGGCCCCTAGGCCAGGCTGGCAATCAGGACCAATCTGTGGGGCGACTGGTGGACCTATATCAGGAGCCCCCACTGTCACCCGCGTTGGCTGGCCTGGCACCGCTTGCTAGCTGGCCCTGCTCCTGATCACCCCGCTGCTGCTGCCAATTGCCTCCCTCTGCAGGATGATCTGCAGGGTTATCAGAAGAAGTTCCCACTGGTGCCTGCTTAGGCTGGCCTGGAACCTGTGGGCTGGGGGTAGCTCCTGCATTGAACATCTGCCCCCTGGTGGTCAGTGTGCCTCATAGCAACTGGTCATCCTGCTGGTCGTTCTGCCTTTTGGTCTATTTGCATATTAGGCTTTTATTATATAGGATGAAGTGGTAATACCCTGATAAGACTGGTAACCATCGGACAATTTTTGGTATCATTTAATATGCAGATAAAATGCAATTTATGAAATTTCACCTCTTTATTCTTCCCCCATGCCTATGGTAAAGGAAATTCCTGGATCCACTATGTCAGTGGGCAGTTAACCATTGAGAAAGTAACTCAGGTTCTTCATACAAAGTTACCTTCATGGGAAGTATCAAGGGTATATTTTAAAAAAGAATACCCGACTAAAATTTGTCAACTATTTGATGAACCAGCAGACCAGCTAAGATAATTTCCCATCTAGGAAGACTAAAAGGAGAAATACACTTTTTGCAAATTTTTTATAACCCAAAAATTTTCAGATAGAAAAGTCAGTTCTTGAATTGCTACTAATCCTGAGGTAAAAGGAAGATTTAGCCTGGGCGAGGAGCAGGGACTATGCAGAATAGCTCTTTAAAAATAATAACTCTCATTTTCATCTTGTACCAAAGTTTTATTACCATTTCCTGCATTATTAAATATCTATGAGGTCAGCAATCCCAAATTTTTATGAGATTGAGTTTTTATTCATTGTGCACGCATACACACACACACACACACACACACACACACACGCACCCTCTGGCCTATTCTCAAGTTCTTTTTGTGCACTTCCATCCACCTTTTGAGCTGCCCTTGGCCTCTGGGACCTCCCTTCTCCTTTCCCAGGTACTCACAGAGTCTGTGTCCCAGGGGGCAGGACTGGGATGCGGTGGATATCCTTGCAGGTGACTCTGAAGTCCTCCTCCTGGTGGCACTCGCAGGGCAGAGACACATACCCTTTCCCCCCTAAGCTCCTGGGCAGGCCGAGAAGCAGCGCCAGCTGCAGGAGGGGCACCGGCCTCATTTTCCACGGGTCCGAGGCCATTCCTTCATCCTCCACTGCCTCCTCATTCTCTGCCCTCTGCGCTTTGGGCTCCCGGGCTGGAGGAGAGAGGGAGGGGTGGGAGCAAGAGGACTTCTGGGGGTTGTGACTTCAGCACCAAAGAGGAGGCTTGGAGAGGGGAAAGGAGAGGCTCTCAAGTGTTCCGTTTCCCTGGGCAACTCTCCACGCAAACAAGCCTATTGGCTTCATTTTCCCAGCCCGGAGCCGCGCAGCCTGCTCTGTCTGTTCCTGGACACTCAACACCGGTCCCTGCTGTCCCCACCCTGCTCTCCAGCCAGCCCCACGTCTTCCTCCCGTTAGCTCTTTCCAAAGCCTAGGTTAGAAGCCCCCTCCTTTCCTTGTCTTTAAGTCCAGTGAGCCATCTTTCCCCGTGGGCAGACTCTAAATGCGCTGCTTGCCAGGACCCCTCTCCCCAGCTCCCCGTTTCTCCCCTCCCCGCTAGGCGCTCACACACTCCGGAGAAAACTCCCCGCGGGATGCATCGTCCCCGGCAGACCGGGGTCCAGATCCTTCTGGCCCAAGGCGCCTCTGAGGATGCCAGCCTGAGGTGCGGCCGAAGCCGGTGCGCAATACCTCTCGGGGACCCTCACTTCTCCCCAACTTCAGCGCAAACCCGACTGCTTTGTGCAGAAGTTGTATTGAGGAGTCACCTGGAGGCGTTAGCTCACATTGCAGCAGGCGGGCTTGGCGCGGTGGGAGGTGGGCCGGGAGCGAGGCTCTGGGGCCATCTGCTGGGAAGAATAGGGAATGGCAGGAACAGTTCTGGTGCTCTGAAGCCAGCCTTGTGACCTGGACCTGGCTTGAAGCCTGGAGGTAAATTCTGAACCGCCTGGAATTTTATTGAGTCATACACCTCCGCTTTTCCCTCCCCCCTCCCCCAGCAAAAGATGGGAAGAAAAATAGCACTGAAGTGGCACACTATCGTCTGCTTATCATTCTTCACACAGTAGCCAAAAATAATCATTTAAAATATAAACCTAGATTGTGCCAATTTCCTTCTTAAAAGCCTTCAATTACTTACTAATTCTTCTGGGGATGAAAAGACCATCAATTCTTCATGAACTGCATAATTCAATTTGTGTGACTTTCTGGGACAGAAGGGGGAAACTATAGTGATGGAAATCATACACTATTTAAGGAAGACTGATTCATAAAAGGCAGGAGAGAACTCACCAGGGTTATGGAAATGTGCTGTATCTTAATTAGACTGGAGGTAAGAGAATGCATTTTTCCCCCAAAACTCATTGGACTGTATTCTTAAAATTTGTCTATTTCAATGCTTTTAGGGCTTTATTCATAATTAACCCAAACTGGAAACAACCTAAGTGTTCCTCAAACTAGGCAATGGCTAAACAAACAATGGTACATCTGTACAGTGGAATACTAATATATATAATAAGAGGGTAATATACAAATTGACCCTAATCGCAAAATGACCAGAATGACTGCTGGATCAGTCACTCTGAGGTGCACTGAGTACCTCTTGGTCCCTTTCCCTGGCTGACATGCTCCGATCGCCTGATGGCCACCTGTAGTAGGGACAGGACCAATAGCCGGCCTCTCAATCCCTTCCCCTGGCTGTCAGGCACCGATCACGAATGGGGAACCAGGGATGGGTGGTGGCAGGGGGCAGAGCCAGCTGTGATAGCTGGCCTTGATCACGGGACAGGCCTAGAGACCATACCCACACATTAATTTCATGTGCTGAGCCTCTAGATTTTCAATAAAAAACCAACCAACCAAACAAACAAACAAAAACATTCCCATTCAGTGAGGCTGAGTTGGTTGGAGCATCATTCAGTACAATGAAAGATGGATTTGATTCCAAGTCAGGGCACATATCCATGTTGTGGGTTCAATCCCTGTTTGGGGCATGTGTAGGAGGCAACTGATTGATGTTTCTCTCTCACATCAATGTTTCTCTCTCTAATAAAAAGGTAATATGCAAATTGAACATCACTCCAACACACAAGATGGCTGCCCCCATGTGGTCAAAGATGGCCACCTCCATGTGGACATAAGATGGCCACCACAAGATGGCCAGCAGAGTAGGACAGTTGTAGACTATCAGGCCAGCAGGGGAGGGCAGTTGGGAGGGAGCAGGCCTGTAAGGGAGGGCAGTTGGGGGCAAGCAGGCCTCCAGGGGAGCAGTTAGGCATCAATCAGGCTAGTAGGGGAGTGGTTAGGGGATGATCAGGCTGGCAGGCAGAAGCAGTTGGGGGCAATCAGGCAGGCAGGCAGGCAAATGGTTGGGAGCCAGCAGACCTGGATTGTGAGAGGGGTGGTGTAGGCTGGGCTGGGGGACACCCCCACCCCCAATGCATGAATTTCGTGCACTGGGCCTCTAATACACACACACACACACACACACATACACACACACAATATAAATTGCTCCTCCTTCCTCTCTCTAAAGTCAATTTTAAAAAGACATAATCTTGCTTTTACTTTGAACACTTTACTTTGAACATTTTTGTTAACATTTCTTGTGGTACAGATCTGTTTGATATACATTATTCCATCTTTTTTGTGTCCAAACAAGTATTAATTTTGCCTTCATTTTTAAAGGATAGCATTATTAGGTACAGAGTTATAGACTGAAAGTATTTTTTCCTTTTAGTACTTTAAAAATATTGCTCCACAATCTTGTTATTTCAAAGGAAAAATGTCATTATTTTCTTTTGCAACATGCTTTTTTTCTCCCTCAGAATGCTTTTAAGACTGATTATCTCTGGTTGAAAGTACTTTGATTATTACATGTTTTGTTGTACTTTCTTCATATTTCTTGTGCAGTATTTTGAGGTTCTGATTTTTTACATTTATGGTTTTTTTTAAACAATATTTTATTGATTTTAGAGAGAGAGTAAGGGAGGTGGAGAAAGAGAAAGAGAGAAACATTAATGAGAGAGAAACATCCATCAGATTCGTCCTGCACAACCCCTATTGTGAATTAAAACCACAATCTGGGTATGTGCCTTGACTGGGAATCGAACCACTATCTTTTGGTGTCCTGGATGATGTTCCAATCAACTCAGCAATACTGTTAGGGCGAATTTATAGTTTTCATCAATTTTGAAAAAATTTCAGCCATTATTTCCCCATTTATTTTTTATGTCCCCTTATGTCTCTCTACTCTTTTTGGGGATTCCAATTATTACACTTATATTAGGCTAATTAAAGTTGTTTTACAAAAAAAGCTCATCTATGCTTTTTTTTTGTTTTTTGTTTCATTGATGCTTTTTAAAATTATAAATTAATTTCCTCTCTTTTTCATTTTGCATAGTTTCTTTTTTATATCTTCAAATTCAATATTCTCTTCTTCTGAAATAATTAATCTGCCATTGATTCCATCAGAATGTTTTTTATGTCAGGTGAAATGTACATGTCTAGAATTTCAATTTGGGCTTTCTTCATAGTTCCCCTGTCTCTATGTAACTTTTGACATCTAAAGCACTTTTTTTTAAAAAATATATTTTATTGATTTTTTACAGAGAGGAAGGGAGAGAGAGAGAGAGCTAGAAACGTCGATGAGCGAGAAACATCGACCAGCTGCCTCCTGCACACCCCCTACCGGGGATGTGCCCGCAACCAACGTACATGCCCCTGACCGGAATCGAACCTGGGACCTTTCAGTCCGCAGACCGACGCTCTACCACTGAGCCAAACCGGCTTCGGCTAAAGCACTTTTGATGTCTGTATTAGATTCCTAGTAACAAAGCACTACATACTTGATGGCTTAAAGCAACAGAAATGAATTCACTCACAGTTCTTGTGGATAGAAGTCCAAAATTAAGCTGTTGGCAAGGTCATGGCTCCCTCTGAAGGTTCTAAGGGCGATTCTTCCCTGCCTCTTCCCAGCCCCTGATGGTTGCCAGCAGTCCTTGATGTCCTTGGCTCGCATCACCCCAGTCTCTCCTCTGTCATCACACAGTGTTCTCTCTTGTGTCTCTGCTCTAAATTTCCTCTTTCCATGAAAGCATCAGTCACCGGATTTGGGCCCATATTAATTCAGCATCACCCCATTTTAACTTGCGCATCTGCAAAGACCCTGCTTCCAAATAAAGTGACATTCCAGGTATTAGACCTTCAGTTTACCTTTTCGGGGGACACAATTCAACCCCTAACAATGTCCCTGTTTGATAACTTTAATATCTTTATCAGTTCTGGTTAAGTTTCAATTGGTTGATTTTTCTCCTTAAAATAAGTTGCATTTTTCTTCTTCTTGGCATGCCTGATAATCTTTATTTGGATTGCCGACATTGTAAATGTCACCTCTTTGGGTACTGGATTATTTGTTTTCATAGAAATATTTTTGAGATTTGTTATCAGATCTGGGGAAATTGGAAATAGTTTGATATTTTTGGGTCTTGCTATCAAGGCTTGTGTGGTGGGATGGGAATAGCATTATACTAGCACCAATTACTCTTCACTCCTGAGGCAAGACTCTTTTGAGCCCTCTACATGATACTCCATGACTTATGAAGTGTCTCCATCTGGCTGGTGGACATAATCATTATTCCTGGTCCTGTGTGAGTGATAGGTACTTTCTCCTCCCCAGTCTTGTTAGTTGCTTCCTTCTACAGCCTCAATTTCTTCACGTATTCATCTGAATATTCTAAGGAGACATTTCATAGTTCTTTAGAGTTTTCTCTGTATGTAGCTCTCTTCTCTTTGTTAGTTTGTCCATCTACATTGGTTTTCACAAACTCTCATCTCTGTCTTGTCAACACAAAGCATCCATTGAGCTCTGCCTGGGTTCCTTCTCTTTGAGCCATCGCCTGGAAATTCTCTCAAGGCAGGAATTTGTGGGGATCATAAGGCTCATGTTGTTTGTTTCCTGTCTGTTAGGAAATCATTGGCCTTTATATAATGTCTATTGTCTTGAAAAGCATTGTTTGATATGTTTTGTCTGTTTTCTTTTTCTAAAATACCGTATTTTCCGGCGTATAAGACGACCCCCTAATTTTACAGTTAAAACATAGGTTTAGGCCTATATTCGCTGTATAAGACTACCCCCCACTTCCGAGGCAACACCAGTTCTTTTTTTAATAGACCGCCTCTCTGACTCTGGCCAATCTTTTTACTAGAACACAGTGAAGCTTCGGGCACAGAACATGTACACTGTGTTCTAGTAAAAAGCCTGCTCAGATTGGCCAGAGTCAGAGAGGCGGTCTATTAAAAAAAGAACTGGTGTTGCCTCGGAAGTGGGGGGTAGTCTTATACAGCGAATATAGGCCTAAACCTATGTTTTAAATGTAAAATTAGGGGGTCGTCTTATACGCCAGAAAATATGGTGTGTGTGTGTGTGTGTGTGTGTGTGTGTGTATATATATATATATATATATATATATATATATATATATATATTTTATTGATTTCAAAGAGTAAGGGAAAAGGAGAGAGAAACATCAATGATGAGGAAATCATTGATTGCTGTCTCCCGTATAATCCGCATTAGGGATCAAGCCCAAAACCCAGGCATGTGCCCTGACCGGAATTGAACCTTAACTTTCTGGTTCATAGGTCAGCCAGCCTATGAACTTTTTACTTTTTAAAAATTCTGGGACAGGGAAAGTCTGTTCTCTGCTTCTATGCTACTCCATTTTTGCTGAAAAGTGGTATGCCAAAAATCTGTAACATTTTAATAAAGATTTAGACAACATGAAATTGGCTTAATGGTCATGATGTAGGTAAAATCTTCCATGCTTACCTGTTTCATTTCAGGAAATTGGACCGAGTCTTCAGGATAACCATCTATATATGTAAAAAGCCAGAGCGACCGGAACACTGTAATGACCAGAACGACTGGTCACTATGATGCCCACTGGGGGTGATGCCAGCCAGCCAACCTCCTGCAATCCCTCCCTCTGGCTGGCCTTGCCCCTGATAGGCCCCCAGGACCCCAATTGCCCCACAGCCCCTCCCCCTGGTTGGTCCCATCCCTGATTGCACCCCTCCTGCCCCAATAAGGCACAGAGCAGGCCAGTCAACTGCCTGCAGCCTCTCCCCCTGACTGGCCCTGCCCCTGATGGGCCCCCACTACCCTGATCAGCCCACGGTCCCTCCCCCCAGCCAGCTCTGTTCCTGATAACCCCCCATACCAATTGGGGGTGGAATTTGCTGGCCAACCTCCCACAGCCCCTCCCCTGGCCAGTGACCCCTGATAGGTCCTCCATCCCAATTGGGGACAAGGCCTGCTAGCCAATCACCCATGGTGCCTCCCCTCAGCTGGCCTGGCCCTGATCAGATGATCGGGGCAGGCTGGCCACCCAATCTCCTGCTGTTTCCTCCTCCTGGCAGGCCTGGCCCCAATCCACCCTGATTGGGGCTGGGCTAGCTGGACCCCTTCTGTGCACGAATTCATGCACTGGGCCTTTAGTATTCTAATAACCTGCTCAGAAAATTGCTATGGTAATCAGAAAGGCACTTTTATTTCCTCAGCCTAACTTTGAAACTGGGGCAAATAAAAACGTGGGATGAGAAGATCAATCTGTTTAAGAGAAAAGTGTTTGCACTCTGATCCATTAAACCCAAAAATGCTTTTAAATATAACAGATGAATGAGAATAACTTAAGAACATTACATTTTCCTTCTTGTAGAAGAATTATTAGCATGATTCAGATATCAGAAAGTGGTGTTTAGTGTGGCATTACTCTTGTGTTTTTATTCCCCCTGCTCTAAAATATCTATTAAAGTGGGGCACAGGCTATCTGAGTTAGCTATAATAAAATTATTTTATGGTTTTGGATTTGTGCATTAATAGTTGTTCATATTGAGTTAAATGCAAACAAATTGCTGTGTTTTACATTTGTGATGCTCTTGACAGTGACACATACCAATAACTAATAAGTGTGTCGCTGAAAAAAATATTATGGGATCAATGGCACACATGCATAGCTGAAGATGATTCCTTGGGTAGTTGGCAATACCATCTTTGCAACATCTTATCTTCTATTTTAACTTTCCTAGATTTGTAGTTTGCTTGAAAAGTTGATGCAGGAAGAGTTAACAACCACTTATGATCATTTTGTGCTTTGGTTCAGAGAGTATTTTGGGTAGTTCTAATTAGGATGTTGGAGATTTCTTTTTAACTTTACCCATAGCATCCCACTTTGGTGCTCTGTCTTCCTTCTTATCACTTACAACTGTCTGGTGATATTACAAGGAGGCTCAGCCATCTAGTGGCTAGATGGAACAATGTGGAATGGAATAGTTGGTTACTACTTGTGCTGGACAATCACTGTGCAAAATGCAGGCTGTCTTCTCTTCATGCCAATGGGTGGACAGTGAGGTCCAGACTATGAATAGTACTTGCTTGAGTAGAAGCTGAGCAGTCTATGGACATGGGCTTTCCTCCAACACTTTCAGGTCTGCACCGCACTCCCAACCCTGAAATCTCCAACTCTCCATTCTGGGACTCTTTTTTTTTTTTCTGTTTCTTATCACATTCCCACTCAGGAATTTCTTTTATCTTGGGCACTGCTCTTCTTCATACTTTCTTGATCCTTGGCAACATGAAGGCAGAAGCTAGGTTGTTATTCTCCTCATTTTCATTACATTTCAAGTGCCTAATATAATGTCTAGATCCTAGAAAGATTCAGCTTACATTTGCTGAATTAAATGAATGAGTGCAATTGTTTAAAAAATTAAAATGTAAACAAAGTTTCTCTAATTCTTCTGCATGCTCATGGGGCAATTTAATGACTGTTCCTAATTATATTAACATTTGTGTCTGGTGGAGTGTATTCTCTTCTTTTTCTTTTTTCTTTAAAATATGGGATGCTTCACTCATTTGTCTGTCATCTTTGAGCAGGGGCCATGCTAATCTTTGTATCATTCCAATTTTAGTATATGTGCTGCTGAAGTGAGCATGAGTATATTCTGGAATACAGCTGTGAACAAGAAACTTGAAGATGGATGCCAATACATAGGTATGTCCTTAGAATAATAATTTTATGTTCAAACTGGTTATAAGATAACATATACCTTTCAGTATTGGCCAACCAGGAAAAATATTTTAATGCTACTGATATATCAAACCCTATAAAATATAGAGGTAATATGCAAATTTACCATCACTCCCTCACAAGAGGCTGCCTATGACCAGGCTGGCAGAGGGGTTAGTGAGGGACAACCAAACGACTAAACAAGTAGGCTGCCAGGCAGGCAGAGGGGAGCAGTTGGGGGCCAGCAGGCCAGCGGGGGGGCGGGGGGGCAGTAAGAGGCGACCAGGCTAGTGAGGGGGAGTTAGGGGTAACCAGGCGGGGGATGGGGTGCAGTTGGGGGCAATCAGGCGGGTATGCAGAGGCAGTGAAGGGTGATTTGGCTGGCAGAGACCCCCCTTCCCATGCAAGAATTTTGTGCACTGGGCCTCTAGTATGATATAATAGGTCATAACTATTATTGTGTGTGTGTGTGTGTGTGTGTGTGTGTGTGTGTGAGAGAGAGAGAGAGAGAGAGAGAGAGAGAGAGAGAGAGAGAGAGATAGAGAGAGAGAGAGAGAGAGGTGGGGGAGGATGGAAATTTTAAAAGGTTAGGTCACTGTGTTTGAAAGGCTTAGAATGGGACTAACAGGGAAATGGATAATTACAGCACACAGTGATTAGAATAGAGAACCCATGTCACTTAAGTGATCTTACTCTTCTTGAGGTAGCCAGGAAAGCTTCACAGAGGAAGTGACCATCTTTGTGACTAATTTGGATTTTCACTTCTTCTTAGCTTTTCCAAAGCTCAGTTCCTTGTTGAGGTTTTTAAAATTATTTTTTTTGCGATTGAAACGGACTTTTCTGAGTGGACTTAAGTCTCTTTCAGGTTCCAAAATAAGTGGAGAGATGACACCCTAGCAGCAGTTTTGAAGTGACATTCTCAAATTCTACTTTTAATTTGTCATCAATGAGCTATGAAAGCTTACTTTTTTCAGGCTTAAAAGGTGTGACTAGATAATCTGTCCCTTTCCAGATCTAAGAATTTGTGAACCACAATACACTAGTATTATTACACGAAGGGGATTTTAACATTTTTCTGCTGGAAATTACACCTGCCTATTCCCCAAGGAATAACAAAAAGATAGTGTATGTTGATCTATGCAACTACTTTTATTTTATTTTTTTTAAGTAAATGAAATAAATATCTTAGACTTTTCTGTTTAAATTACAGTCTGGGCCAAGGCAACTCTCTCCCTACCTGGTGTTTGTCTTCAATATACACTTCTGGCCCTTTAAAAAACAAAACAAAACAAAAAAAAAGGGGAAAGAGGGCGAGTCCTAAGGCCTCAGGTGCCAACGAATCCCGCTTTTTCCGGGAAAGTCACCCGAAGACAGTCCTTTGGCATCCTGGGACTTGCAGTTCCTCTTGGGGCCAAGTCCCTTAGCAACTCCTTACTTTGAGGAGGATGCGGACTACAACTCCCAGAGGGCCAAGCGGCGCCAGCAGGGTCCTGTACTCTCGCCGCGGCTGGGCGGCTAGTTCAAGTTGCCATAGCTGCGAGTCCGGGCACAGCTCAGTCGGTTGCGCCGCCGCGTAGGGTCAGTTGCACCTTCTCGATCAGGTGGCCGTGGGAGCCGGGCGGGTCCTCGGCGATGATCCGGCATTAAGGACCTGGGCTCTCAATCTCAGGTACTTGCCCCCCCCACCTCCCCTGGCCCTTTCTTTGCCACTTCCCTGTGGGGTGGGCTTCTTAAGTCCCACTTCTCCTGGTCCCAGGGGTGGGGACGCTGGCCTCGCGGAGACGAGCTGTGGGTGCGGCCGCGGCTTGGTAGCGTGAGCGCCAGGGTGGGGAGAGACGGGGTGCCTAGCCTGCGACCCCCTCCGCATGGATATCCACAGCGTGGTCTGTGCCGAGCTATTCGGGAAATTTGAACTTACACGTCCTGAGCTGTCAAGGTGATTGGCTTCATTTTGGAGACGACGTGCCTGGCCTGGGATATAGCCGTTCTGTATCTGTTCTCTAGTCACAGAGGCTGTATCGCTGTGTGGGTCTCCCCTAGGCCACCATGGGCGTTGCCCCAGCGTTAGCTGCCTCTGATAGGAGCTGTTTCCTAGGAACATCTGACATTGAATTCCCGCAGCAACTTGGATGGGTTTGATGGGGCTCAGTGGCTTCCGCAGGCTCCTCCTCCTAGGACCGCACCGTCACGTTGTTCCAAGAATGAAGCACTGTATCTGGCACAAGGCCTGGCACATTGGAAGTGCTCGGTATTTGTTGTTTATATTTACTAATGATGCAGAACAGTGCCGTCCAATAGAAATAGTATGTGAGCCACACGCACAGGTTTAAATTTTCCAGTATCCACATTGTACTGGTAAAAAGGAAACTGGTGATATTAATTTTAATAATTTTATGTAGCACAATATATACAAAATTTCAACATGTAGTCAATATGGAAACTTATTGAGGTATATGTATTTAATGTTTCTAGGTCTTATGTGACAACTACTAGTTTCTGGATACTTTCTGTGCATTCTTACAGACTGCTTTAAAAGCAGTCACAAAGAATTAAAAATATTTCTGTCCACAGACTTTCTTATAACCAAAGACATTTTATGTTTTCTTATTTAATTGCAGTACGAAATGTGGGTGGTACTGGGCAGCTTACAAAATAAATCCTTTAGGCGTACTGGCGTATATAGTTCATTAACTGGCTTAGAAATTCAACTGGGTCATTAAATTCAGAAATATCATGTTAAATCAATTACTTGACTTAGTTTGCCCTCTGATAGACATGCTGAGAGAGAGAGAGTACTTTTAGGTAGACTTGGGCTATACGATTGCAAGATCTGGCCAGCCCTGGGGATAACCAGGCATGGGTGGAAGTAACAAGTGAGGAGTATGTTGGTTGGGCTCTTGGATGTGAAGAGTTCCTTTGAGTTCAGTGGGGCTTTTGCATGACCCAAGGAGCATTTTCTCTGTTCCCTGATATGCCATAAATTGTATATAGTGAGGGTGAGCTTATTTTCATCTTTTATTTCTTTAAAAAATTTAAGGTTGTAGGTGTGTTTTAACCCTTGTTTCATTTATCTGTAGGTGGTTTGGGGAAAATATAGGGGTAACTGAAGATTATCTACTTGACTAGGCCTTTTGCCCTGAACCTCATGAAGAAATGATAGGAGGTAGACATATGTGCCTAAGAAGAGCACTGAGCTCAGTGGAAAGCAACACGGAGATTTGGGGGTGTACTTTGTAAGTATGCTTTCTGCCTGTGTTTCTAAACACGTTTTTGCATATTTATAGTGGAAAAGAGTATGTCAACAAATAAGCTTTTGAGAGGCAAGAAATCCCTTTCTAGCATGTAGTGTAAAAATTAATAGAATGGTTATGCGTGTTATAAAACTTCAAGTGAACAGACTGGATACCTTAACAAAAAGAACAATGATGCAATTGTTTCTATTAGACAAGTATTTGAGAACATATTTTGTCTCAGGCACAGTAATAGAATTTTTTTAAATGTAATATATATATATATATATATATATATATATTGTATAAAAATATATAATATTTTTTACACTATTCTTTTTAAAAATATATTTTTATTAATTTCAGAGAGGAAGGGAGAGGGAGAGAGAGTTAGAAACATCAGTGAGAATCATTGAATTGGCTGCCTCCTGCACACCCACTACTGGGATTGAGCCCACAATCCGGGCATGTACCCTGATCAGAATTGAACTGTAATTTCCTGGTTCAGAGGTCAAGGCTCAACTGCTGAGCCATGCTGGCTTGACATTATTATACTACTAGAGGCCCTATACATGAAATTTGTGCAAGAGTAGGCCTTTCTTCCCCTGGTTGCTGGCACCCGGGACCGGCTTCCCTAGCAGAGAGATGCCCTACCCACCTGCCACAGCCTGCCTGTCGGTGGCCTGGCCTCCCTCTGCGGGGTGATCATGGGATGATGGCCAGGTCCCGACCAATCACACGGTACTTGCCATGGCTGGCCTGGCGCCAGTGGGTGTCATAGCATGGTCCCGGATGGTTGTCCGGATGGTTGTTTGGCCATTCAGTCCATTGGCATATTATGCTTTAATTCTATAAGATTCTTTGTTTCACGAATGAGACAGTTGAAGCTAAGATAGTACATGCGATTTGCTTGGGATTCAGGAGCCCCAAGAGTGGTTTTCTTTCCCAGGTGTTCTTTCTGCAAATTTCAGTTCTGCCCAATATGAAGAGATGCCATTGCTGTCTAAGATGGCCTTCAGTGGGATCTGATTGACAGTCAGCATTTTTAGATTAAGAGTCCCATATAAGCAAAGTTTATTGCTATTTATCTTTTATTTATTTATTTAGAAAATATGTTTTTATTATAGATTTCAGAGAGGAAGGGTGATGGGCTATTTATCTCTTTAAATGTTCAAAGGATTCTATTATCTTAGTTTTTTCAATATATAATGGTTCTTACATTCTTATTGAGGTAAAAGAGTTATAATTTGTGATTACTGTAAAATGAACATATTCAACATTATTTGTCATTGATAATGACGGACATAGTATTAAAAACTCAAGTTTTGCAATGTAGAGTTAAAACTCTGAACAGTTTTTAGCATTTTCTTGTTGCATTTTGATAAGGGACTCTTAAACCTATATAAGAGATCCATTGGGGCCTTGTGAAAACACTGTCCCAAGATCTACTCTGCACAAAGTTCTTAGAATTAAAGAATTTTAGAGCTGGAGGAGCCTGAGCAGGTCATATAATCACAAATTCTCAAATGTAATTTTGACATATTTGGGAATAAAAAAAAATAATCTAGCGTGTAATTCAGTGGTATCCATGTAATATCACTGGGCTGATTCTAATATGAAATGTTTCAATATATTTATGTTATTCTGTAGTGTGTATTTATTTGTTGCAATAATGTGGTATTACATGTCAGTGCAT